TATATTAAAACCCTGCAAAATATGCTTTGTGTTTACATGAATTAAATTCTATTATCAGATAATTTTTTTGTTTTTACTTAAATGAATCGTCTGGTAAGATAGTCAATTTTTCTATGACAACACAAGGCCATTCTTTGTCACTGTGACTACCAAAATCACCCCACACATTTCTAAGGATGAAGTGTGGTACCTCACCCCTGGGAAGGAATGTGGCCCAATGACATGAAACAGCTCTAGCTCAAACGTGTTAAATGGGATATCCAAAGCCACCACCCTGGTGCGGGCGCTAGGAGGACACTGCAAACCAAGGGGAAGACATCTCCCTAGTCTTCTTTAAATCTCCATGCAAATGACCGTGCGATAATGCTCTATGCTGTACTGGTTGCAAAAAGTTGCCCCTTTTATAGTGTGGACCTTCTGAGGTTAAAATAAAAAGAGTGCATTTCAACCGAACAATCTGAGGCTTTACTTACAACAGATGTTAGCCAGTGCCTAAGCTACTGAAGGTTTAGGGAACCCAGAAGCAAAACCTCCAGTTTGGCTGCACATTTGCATAAACCACGACAGACATCTCTAAAAGTAAAGACCAACAATGTGACCGATATGGGGTTTCTGCACCTCTAGTTGTCTAAGCTTTATCCCACATCAACTTAGAATACCACCAGAAGGTACCCTGTTTGGGTCTATATTTGAAATACTTTCTATGAACTACAATTTAATGCTCTATCCTCGGCTTAAATTCGAAATCAATATAATAATGATCTACAAAGCACAGGTTGGGATCACCTGCCAAACTCATGCAGGGAAGTGACTCCCAATGCTGGGAGCCACTTGACGTCCAAGTGGGTCCTTGACTTCCTGCAAGAAAAAATTCAGGAGCCAGTAAAGTGAAAGTAAGATATATTCAGAAACGATAGAAAGTTAGGTCTACTCCAGAGACAGCAGAGGGATGTTCTCCCTGCAGAAGAGAACCAGTCCCTTGGTTCTCTTTTTATTTAAACATCAGGCTAAACAAGGGGAGGAATGTTCACGGCAGGGGTGGTGATCTTCCACGTCTTGGTACTAACCGGTTGGAACTTGCCCTGCCTTCATCTTGTTTTGATCAGGTCAATTAGAAACTTTATTCCGAGACTTCCAGACTCAGCAAGGCAATGCCCGGGCACCACCTGCCCGGTCCCTGCCTCAAAACCGCTGTGCAACCAATCGAGCGTCTTCTTAGTCCTTTGCACCTTGAGAATGTCCTTCTGTATTTCTTTCCGTTTATCAGAACCATATACACCATCTTGATGTTTTGTTTCATTTTGGTTTGGCTTGGCTGCTAGTAAGGTCAGAAATACATTTAAGGCTTCAGGGCAGTGACTGCTAGAATTACCCGTTCCTTTTCTCTCGTGCTGCTGTCTCTGACTTTAATTGTCCTCCATTTGCTTTCACTGTATGCCGGATCATATTTCTGTTACAAGTAGGATAGTGTATAAATGACCCAAAGCACGGAGAACAGAGCCTGGGTGCTCAGTAAATATTTTTTGGCGACTGAGTGGGTCTGGAAACAAACTCGGTTTCAGTTTTCGGCAAGTAGGAGCGGTGGCCACCAGGGGGAGGTGCCGCCCACCCAGCGGGGTGGGAAAGGGCGCTTTCCGCGCTCGGACGGCGCGGGGAGTTTCGAGCGGCGTTTTGTGATGTTCGTTGAGTCCCGTATCCGTGGAGTAATGCACCTGGCCACCTGAGTGAGTGGGCAGCCGAGCAGTCCCGGATCCCCCACTGCGTCCAGCACCGCGCCCACTGGGCTTGGGCTTCACTGCGGAGCAGAGGCCGGTGGCGCGAAAAGCAAGCGCAGGTGCAGTGAATTGAGCCGAGTGCAAAAATCTTCATTTAATATTCTAGAATCGGCAAACCAGATAGCTCTTGACCCAGAAGACGGTTAGTAGAGTAGAAATAAGAAGACAGCAAGAACCGAGGGGACAGCCGAGAAGGATGGGCACTTACCATTGGTGGCGTTATGACGGATTCGTGCCTTAGAGCCTGGAACTCTGGCACACACTGGGTTTCAATTGCTCTCCTCTTTTCCAGAGACTCAGCCTCAGAGAGTTAAGGTCTGCTAATTCCGTAGCTTCATCTGCAAATTGAGAATCAAGGAGGGATGAGACTTTGCCGCTTGTGGCACTGTGAGTTACCAGCCTGGCTAAGAACTTTTCCCACCCTCCAGATAGGAAGCCTTTAGGGGGCAGATTCTTGTGGGTTCTTAGCCTGAGACTAGGGGCCAAAAGCATCTCTTTTAAGAGCTGTAAGGTTTTCTACTCCTCACTTAAACTTTACAATTGGGATGAACAATAGATTTCAATTTTGTCTTACAAACTGACAAATCTTAGCTGGGGGGTGACTCAGGCCTGTCATGCCAGCTCTCTGGGAGGCTGAGATAGGAGTATCACTTGAGCTCAGGAGTTTGAGACCAACCAGAGACCAATTTTCTCTACTAACAGTACAAAAATTATCTGGGTGTAGTGTTGTGTGGCTGCAGTCACAGCTACTCAGGAAGCTGAGGCAGGAGGATCACTTGAGCCCAGGAGTTTGAGGTTGCAGTGAGCTTTGATGAGGCCACAGCAGTCTAGCCTGGGTGACAAAGTGAGACCTTGTCTTAAAAAACAAAAACAAAAGAAACTAACAAATAGAGAATTTCGGGGTGGCACCTGTGGCTCAGTGAGTAGGGTGCCAGCCCCACATACCAAGGGGTGGTGGGTTCAAACCTGGCCCCGGCCAAAATTGCAACAATAAATAAATAGTATGAAAAAAAACAGAGAATTTCTTAAGCCAGAAGTTCTTAACCTGTAGGCATATGAACTTGGATAGGGAACAACATTCCATCTTTATTTTCATTCAACTTTAAAATTTAGCATTTCCTTAAATTATGAATATAGGCAAGAAACCACAGTAGATCAGCAGGACTTGTGACTTGTCATCAATAGAAACCACAGAAATTTTATGCCACATTATATGTTTTAGGTATCTCAGAATATTACATGTACTCATCATTACTTTGAAATTATGGCAGTCCTTAGATTGCTGCTAGATCTTTTTATTTCATGCATCAGTGAACACATATGTTACTATATCACATTTTAAAATATTTCAGTATAATCAGTTTCTTGTGTTACCCAATGTATTTTATAATATGTATTTTATGCACTTAAATACATAGGCTTCACCAAACTACCAAAGAGTAAGAAAAAAGGTTAAGAACTTTTGTTTAAAAGGAATGTTACCTTGGGCAGCACCTGTGGCTCAGTGGATAGGGCGCTGGCCCCATATACCGAGGGTGGCAGGTTCGAATCTGAGCCAAACTGCAACAAAAAATAGCCGGACATTGTGGTGGGCACCTGTAATCCCAGCTACTTGGGAGGCTGAGGCAAGAGAATCGCCTAAGTTTAGGAGTAGGAGGTTGCTGTGAGAGATGACACCACAGCGCTCTACTGAGGGCCATAAAGTAAGGCTCTGTCTCTAAAAATAAAAAATAAAAAAAAGAATGTTACCTTAGAGCTCTGTTAACCTGCCATTCACCAAATTTGGTATAAATCATAAGTTAATATAATGTGGACCTCTTTTGAAGCTCAGCAAAGGGAATTTAGCTCCTAAAGCATCGAAAGGATGATTTGTTACTAAGGGACTCATGTAGATTTAATAACAAAAAATGGCATTATAGACAGTATATTGATTCAACCTATACTTTCTGGATAAAATGATGTGTAGAACTTTTTAACTATCATTAGAACAGAAACAAGACTTGAGGCGTAAGGCAGCTGTTGAAAACTACTAAAGACCATAAATAAGTGATAGGCTGAGGTTGTGGTAATCCCACTTCGAATCTCCCTAGATCAGTGAGTCTCAACCTTCCTAACTGCCGTGTTGTTACAAATGGAAAAAAGGGGTCGCGACCCACAGGTTGAGAACCGCTGCCCTAGATGATTAAAATTTTTATGAGTTCTGGAGTTAACTTTAAAAGTACATCACTAACAAGGCAGGCACAATGGCTCACGTCTATAAACCTAGTACTTTGGGAGGCCAAGGCGTGGATTGCTTGAGCTCAGAAGTTCAACACCAGCCTGAGCAAAAAAGTGAGACCTCCATCTCCACTAAACATAGAAAAACTAGCCAAATGAGGTGGTAGGTGCCTAAAGTCTCAACTATTTGGAAGGCTGAGGCAAGAGGAATGATCACTTGAGGCCAGGAGTTTAAGCTCTGGTGATGCCACAGCACTCTAGCCTGGGGCAACAGAATAATAAAAAAAAAAGTAATAGCAAACAATTGAGAATGTCATTTTTCTAATGTCTTGTCAGCTAGGGTAATGGACATTAAACACAGAGACCTTTTTGCTCTCTGGCCACTGAAGGTACAGAATTTGTATTAGGAAAATTCAAATTTGCAAGTTTGAGGCTTTTAGAAATATGAGAAGGCTTTTTAATAAAATTGAAAATCTTACATCATCACCACAGCAGAAAATGCAAAAGTGCGCCCATGTAGGATATTTTCTTTTTTGAGGTAACGCTGCAGAAATATTCATTCCAGGAAAGATGCTGACATTTCCTGTTGCCTTTTCTACAGGTATTGAAGAGGCTGGGGTCTTGGCAATCATTCCTTCTGACCTGGAAACATTTTAAGTGGAAAGCTTCCATAATCCATCGACACTCTGATTGCTACTTGTAAGTTTCTTCACTTTGGGGATTACTTCTGCTTTGCAGAAATTATCTGTGTGGACATGCATAATTTATAACAATCTCTGGTGAGACCTCAGAAAAGAAGATATGCGTGTGGTGCAGCTGGATGTCTGAGGCTGCGTCAGAACCCAGTGGAAACGCTCCCTGGGTGGCACGAGCCTGCATGAGCTGCGACTCTGGCAGAGGGACAGCCCTTGGGGCTTCCTTCTCCAGAAGAGTGGGACACAGTTAAAAAGGAAAAAGGAGACGTGAGCAGCACACAGTTGCCAAAGAAATAGGAGAGGTCTACTGAGAACGCAGGGCCGTGGCTGGGCTCCATGCTCTCATCCACAGGAGGAGATGGCCCAAGAAGTGAACCTAGATTCTCTGAAGGAGCTGGAACGAGAGGCCATTCTGCAGGTCCTGTACCGAGACCAGGCTGTCCAAAGCATAGAGGAGGAGAGGATACGGTAGGCTGCCCTGCAAAGGCCTGTGGTTCTGGGGTTTTAACCTTCTCCGCTTGGAGTCTGCTGCGCCTTAGCACATTGCTACTTGCTTACAAATTCCTGCTGGGCTTCTTGCCCAGATGGAGGGGAGAGCTGTGGGAGGGGATCCCTTTGCTATCTCACTCCATTAGGAGAGGATGCAGAGGGAGGAAGGCTGCCCTTGTTCATTTGAAGTGGGACCTTTTTGCTATAAGTTCACTGCCTGTCTGTTTATCTACCACTCGCTTTGAGGGAAAAATTTAAGGGACGTTTACAGGCTCCCAGTGCACCCTTTTCTTTAGAGAAAGACCTGAGGCTAAGGATTTTCCTACCTTATTTTTGGTGGAAGCCAAAACCACAGAGAAAAGCAAAGAAAGCAGCACAGCTGATAGAACCCCATCCTGTCTTTTTTCCTTTGCTTGCTTTTGTTTCCCCAGTTAGCTTTGAGGAAAGGGGGAGCATGAAGTATGGACCTGTTTGACCTGTTCTCTGGGCTCATTTGCCCATAGAGAGCGTCTTTCCTGGTCTGTCTCTAAGTTGCAGGAGCTGTTTGATGAGTTAACATTTAATAAAACAATGCTAGACTGTATCACAATGGGTGCACCTGCCAAGATCCACCTTTAAATCCACGGTGCTTGTTTATCAGTGTTTATAGAGGATGTGAGGGTTGAAAACAAGCACGTGGAATAGATTTCTTGGTTTCGTTTTGTTTCTCGTGGCAGAATCTTTCAGAGTCTGCCAAGAAAAATACACCTACAGAATAAAAGTTTGGACAACCAAATGCTTGAGGAATGAGGGAAATTTTCTGTTTAGCGTGAAGGTACAAACACTTTTTTTCATGCTCCTTGATCTCTCAAAGCTCTCTAAGTATACTTGTAAACTGTCTTCCATTGAAATTCATAATACACAAAGAAATTGGAATTTCATTTTAGGATTAAAGATCTCTCAGTGATTTAGAGACAACATTTTGAATATCAGTAAAGTAACGTGGACACTGTGATAAAGAAGTTTCAGTCCAAAGGGTAGTAATTTGGGAGGAAATCCTGAAAGCTGAATTTTGAAGTACATTTCTGATATAATCTTGCTTTTGGGATTGGCTCGTCTGGGAGGGTTTTTTATATTTTTTTGTTTGTTTGTTTGTTCTGAGACAGAGTCTCACTCTGTTGATGTGGGTAAAGTGCCCTGCTGTCAACCTAGCTCACAGCAACCTCAAACTCCCGGGCACAAGAGATCCTCCTGCCTCAGCCTCCCAAGTAGCTGGGACTACAGGCATGCACCACCTCACCCGGCTAGTTTTTCTACTTTTAGTAGAAACGGGATCTCACTCTTGCTCAGGTCTCAAACCTGGTCTCAAACGCAGGTTCAAGCAATCCACCCACCTCAGCTTCCCAGAGTGCTAAGATTACAGGCATGAGCCATGGCACCTGGCCTGGCTCATCTTTTCTAAAAGTAGGTAAGAGACAGCTGGGTGCCTATTGTTCAGTGGTAAGAGCGGGCGTCCTCAAAGTATGGCCCTCGGGCCACATGCAGCCTGCCTAGGACATTTATACTGCCCGCCATGTGTTTTTGCCGCCAATTCATCCTGGGGCCCGCAGTCTGGCCTTCCAATGGTCTGGAGGACAGTGAACTGGCCCCTTGTTTAAAAAGTTTGAGGGCCCCTGGGTTAGAGCATCGGCCCTGTGCACCAGGGACAGTGGGCTCAACCCCAGGCCTCCTTAACAACAACAACAACAACAAAAAGTAGGTAAGAGATATTTGATGAAAGGATGTTCTGGTTAATGACATCTTTTGGGGGTCTGATAGAATGTCCCTTCGCACTATGGCTATTGTCTAGGGGACTGAAGGACAGGAAGTGGAATGACCACCCATTGAAAAGCCAGTAGCACTATCAAAGCACCAGGTGATGATGGTATCGGGGGACTTCTGCTAATCAGGGCGCAGGTGCTGTGTGTTTATAGAGCTCTCCATGCGTCGTGTGTACAGTTGCTGCCCTTGTCTGTGTCTTTCCTTTTCTCTCCCTATTAGTACAAGGCCATTCTAATAGTAAGTGTGGAAGGATGAGCCTGGGAGCTCACTCTTCCACACCAGGCTTACGCTTTGCAGTTTATCCCACAGCAGCCCTGGGACGGAAGGTTACACCGTCTCTGCCTCACAGCTGAGAACACCTCTGGCCCAGCTCACTTAGCCACGTGGGAACCCAGGGAGGGGGACACCAATGCGCCTTCCCAGCCACTGCCATTCTGCCCAGGCCTTGCCCTGTGTCCTGGCACTGCCATTCATTTCCATCATGTCTTATTTAACTCTGGGCCACAGGAAACTGCAAACGCAGCTGCAGCACCTGCGGTGGAAAGGGGCGAAGAGTGCTGGCCGGGAGTACACAGGGAAGTCCTGCGCCCGCTGCCAGAGCGTGCTGGGCCTTCTGCTGCACCGGGGCGCCGTGTGCCAGGGCTGCAGCCACCGCGTGTGCTCCAAGTGCCGCGTGTTCCTGAGGGGGACGCACGTCTGGAAGTGCACTGTGTGCTTCGAGGACAGGTGAGCAAAGTCTTTCAGGGAGTGTTCACAGAGCCCAGTACAGAGCTGCTGCTCTTGAGAGGTGATTTCCATTCAAAAGCAAACGTTAGTGTATTTGTTTTCGTAGAACTTAATTTGTCTCCTTCAGTAAAAGTGGAGTAAATTGTAACATAGAATATTAGAGTTATCCTTTTATTATTTATTTATTTATTGAGACAGTCTCACTCTGTTGTCCCAGACTAGAGTGCATCGTAGCTCACAGCAACCTCAAATTCTTGGGCTCTGTCTCAGCCTCCCTAGTAGCTGGGACTATCGGCACCCACCAGAAGGCCCAGCTAATTTTTCTATTTTTAGTAGAGACAGGGTCTCACTCTTGCTCAGTCTGGTCTTGAACTCCTGAGCTGATGTGATCCACCCACCTTAGCCTCCCAGAGTGCTGGGATTACAGGTGTGAGCCAGCATGCCTAGCCCTGGAATGATCCTTTCAAATAAGCTTAAGGAGGTAAGCTGATCTATATCAGATAGAGATGTTTAATCTTTTGATATTGTGAGGTTTTCAAAAAAATTCCACAAGGAATTGATATTTTTGAACTTCCCATTTGGAAATGATAAAGAATGTATTTGGTTTGGACTTCCATTGTTCTCGACCTAAATGAATTGCTCAAAAACACAGGAATGTCTGCATGTGGGGTGGAAGGACAGGCAGGACGTCACAGAACTTATGAGAAGGGTGAACATTAGGTTTACGTGCATTCTAGAAGAGTAACCAGACTCTAAGATTTGAAAATAGCTTCTAGAAACCACTGTGATGTGTGAGCATCCAGGGACAAAGGTTGGGAGAGGCGCCTGTAAGGGGCAGGGGTGGCTTCTGGGTGTTCCCCCTCTTCCAGCTCCCGAGGGCTGTCTCTGGTGCATGTTCTGACACTGATCTGCCCAGACGTCCCTGTGGAAGGCGTGATGTGTTTCAGACATTCAGCCACAGGGAGGTGAGGGCATCCCTTCCATTCTTATCAGTGTCATGCCGAGTCACACTGACTCAGGTCACTCACTGACCCTCCTCATCTCACATTTCTTTGGCTTGCTGAGGCCAATGTCCCTCAGGCTTTTGCCCACTTAAGAACAAAAACTATTACCATGAGCTGCCCTGGCCACACTTGTGTTTATGTGGCCTGGGCTCTGGTGGGAGTAGACAACGATCACATATCATCTCTAGAAAGGGCTCCAATCTTCTTCCCAGGTAAGGGCTTAAATTCCTCAGCACTGTTTCTTCTTTTAAGAGTTAACTATATATGAAAAATCAAAATAGGAAGATAGGAGCTGAGGCAGTCTCCAAGGAGGCTGCCAGGGTCAAAATCTCTGTCCTCGTGGGCATCGTGTCCCGGCATTGCGACTTTACCCTCTAAGTGCACCAAGTGTGATTTCTAAAACCCCAGCTTCCTTATTTTGAAATAAAGATGTTTTTCAAAATACCTAGGGTCATTACATAGCTGCGAATGAGTCAGCACAGGAAGCCGTGTGGGCAGGGGGAGTCTGTGGTGATGCGGACTCTCTTCCTGTCCTCACCGCCCTCTGCCCTTGGGCTAGCTGCGTCCACTCTGCCATGCCTTCCAGTTTCAGGACCAAATCCAAGATGAGGCTTGGTGAAACTTCAGAGCCTTGGGGGTGGTGGCCCCATAGACTGAGGGTGGCGGGTTCAAACCCAACCCCGGCCAAACTGCAACATCAACAACAAAAAAAAAATAGCTGGGCCTTGTGGCAGTGCCTGTGGTCCCAGCTACTGGGAGGCTGAGGCAAGAGAATCGCTTAAGCCCAAGAGTTTGATGTTGCTGTGAGCTGTGATGCCATAGCACTCTACTGAGGGTGATAAAGTGAGACTCTGTCTCTAAAAAAAATTAAAAAACAAACAAAAAAGAAACTTCAGAGCCTTTGATATTCATCCCTTCCTTACATCCTGAAACTTAGGAGAGGTTTTTGACCCCAGCCGTTCTCCCCATTCTGCTTCTCCCCTGGCCGAGTCTCCTTCCTCAGGCAGTGGCTCAGGTGCGGGAACAGGAGGAGGAAAATAGATTTTTACAATCAAGAAAGGGGAAGGTCCAGGGTAACAAAGAGAAACCCTGAATAAACGGACTTCCAGACTGCTGTGGAGAGAGAGGCCTGCCCCGTGGCTGGTCCCGGCTGGTGCTGAGGTCCCAGAAGACGTTTAAGACAGAGCTTTTTGACTTCAAGTACTACTTACTGAGTGTGGAGCTGCCAAGGCTGCCGGGAGCTCAGGGCCAGGGGGGATGAGGGAGGCTGAGTGGCTCAAGCAACTTGTAGAGCATCTGTGTTTGGAACAGTCCTTTAAGGTTGCACTTAAAGCTTAAAACAATCGTATGGGGTGGTTACTCCTCTTGGCCTCATTTAACAATGAGAAAGTGGAGGCTTAGAGACCTGAGATGGTTTGCCCAAGGCCACATCAGTTGGAGTGAGGGCTGCACCCCAGGCCTCCCTCTGAATGTCCCCCTCACCTGTCCTGCCCTGGGAGGGCAGAGTCTTAACAGCCACTCCAAAGAGTTTGCATCCGAGACAGCAGGAATCGGCGTGTTTGTATGTGCTCTTTGCCAGAAGAAAACTATGCCCAGAATCCACCCTGGCTGTGCAGGCCAGCTCAGGAGGGAGGCAGATGAGGGCGAAGGGGCTGCAGGGAGTGAGACCTGAAGGGCAGAGCTGGTGGTGCTAGTAACAGAGACCAGGAGACTGAAAAGGGATAGGGCCAGGAAAGAGGGAAAGAGGATTCTGAGCCTGCTAGGTGAGTAGCTTTGCACACTGAACTGGATCCTAGCGTTTCAGAAAACCAGAAGAGAAGCCATGGAAAGAACTCAGTGAACAAAGGTTAAGTCGGGAAGGACTTAGAAAAAACAAGTCTGTTGAAAGTTGGTTTCAGCAGCAAGGAGCCGACCAGGAGAGGGTGTCTTGGGAGGAGAAGTACAAACTTATCCTTGTTTCTGGTTGATATTTCTCCTGTTAGAATTTATTGACAATTTCTTTGGTGAAATGGTAGATGGTACCAACTATGCCAAGATAGTAAGGATATAGTTTCTTTCAAAAAAAAGATTGAACTTAGGCTTGAGTCGACTTTTTTTTTCCCTTAAAAATAATAAGTTATACAGGAGCATCAAATTCCACATATCTAATAGAAATCTGTTCATGTCTCTGAAGTAGATTACTGAGGAATTACTCTTTCTCAAGACTTTTCTCCTTTGAACTGTGACCTTTCTCTTACTGTGTAATCAGCTACGACCATAACAAATCATTCATTCTGCAGCTTCATTTGTTGGTTGGTTGGTACACCGCCTGTGTTCCATCCTCCTGCTTAAAGCAAGACTTTCCAGAGTTTAGAAACTATGATCTTTCAGATTTCAGATCGGCCCTGCTAGTATGTTTGTGATCCCGCATTTTGATAATGAACCAAATCACCATTTTTATATCAACAAAGGCAAATAGCTAATGTATGAGAATAGAATAAAAGAAGATTTAAAACATTGAATGCCAGGTTTGGTAGAAGAGAGTCGCCAGGGAAGATTGTAGCCTGGTGCCAAGATGAAAATGACATTTGTCTAATGCCTGTCTTCTGTTTCAAAACTTGATTTTTTTTCCTAAACATGACTTGTTGACATTGCTGATAGAAACCACGTTTGTGTGTTTCCTGTGAAAAAAGAGATTTAGACAAGTTAAAGACACTGAGTCAAAGATTTCACATTAGTTGTGCACTTACAATTGTGGTTTACCAGTTAGCCACTAAAACTAGTGGGGAAAGCCTTTTGTTTTTTGATCGATAATATTTTCTTCTCTGTTCTGAATTAAAAGTAGCATATTTTGGTTCTCCCAACATAGCTTGGCTGTTTCACTTAGTATATGGGCTCTGTTTTCTATGGGAAGGGGATAGATGAAAATTATATATATTATGGAATCATAATATCCTTTTTATTTATGTCCCAAATGAGAGTAATAATTATTAATATTCTTTGAAGTCTTGTGTTACCAAAGATATAGTAAAAAAAAGTGAAATAGTTTTTGAAAAAGAAGTTTGTTTTGTGCCTGTGAAAGGGAATACTTTCCTAACAGTGCATCATTCTTCTTGGTGAAATTTAAATTTATTCTGCCACGGCAAGCCCTGCCTTCAAAACCTTTTCCAGACTTGGTAAGCTTTCTATTTTATTAAAGGCTCTTGCTCACACTCTCACATCGTCACCTCACTCAGTTCAGCTGAAACCATGGCCTTCTAGGGAAGGTCGCCTCAGGAACAGTTTAAACGGGCTGGCAGTGGCATGGTGGCCACGGGCTGGCTGTGGTCAGCACTCTGGGCCATAATGTAGGCTGCAATCCAGGGTACAGGCAGAGGGAGAGATGCCAGACAGGGTTGCCATTCCTCAAAATGATGAGCAGGTCATGTTTTCACAGGGTTTTCTGCAACATTGCCCCCATGTCCACAGGTCAGACCAAAGCATGTTCCAATTCCAGGTAGAAGTTGTGTGATTTATGGATTTAGATGATGCAAATCATGTGCTATTTTATTAATGCAGGTATTTAAGAATCAACAGTAATAAGCCTTTCTTTTTGTTGAAAGAAGCCCCTGGGTTTGTGCCCAAGCTTAAAGCATAGCTTGGTCTGTTACCCTCCTCTGAAATCCCTTTTAGCTCTCTTTGGTGGAGACGGAATTAGATTTGGGGGGTCTCTTTCTCAGATTCAAATTTACACTTACTGGCTTTTAGAAATTAACAAAAACGCTCCTTTAAAAACAAAAGTGTTGAGTCTGGCTGATCCTGCTGGCACGCCACTACCCCTATGAACAGGGCTTCTGTAACTGTGATAGCCAAGTCAGCTAATAAGAAACCCCTTATTCCTTCTCCCTTTTAAAATGATATAAAAGTGTTAACAAGGGGATGAAACTGTTACCTTGAACAGAATTCCCCAAAGCCTGTCTAGTTTTTGCCCTGTCTGCAATGACGACTTTGTGTTTCATTTCAAAGGTGTTCTCAGGC